ATGGTAGAATACAGTATGATGGGGAGAGAGGTGATAGACCTGGAGAACCTAGGGACCAGACATCAAAGATTTTATCCACGGTTTTAGATTTTTTTGAATAAAGGGCCATAAGAAGTCATTCCTGGTTGCCGACAAGGGTTGAGGAATTTAGAATGATGGAATCCAGTAAGCTGATTACTAGCTTTGGAATGGACGATCATTTTGCCTTTCCCCTGAATAGAAAAGAAGAGCACTGTGGAGTCCTTACCCTGATCGAAAGAGAGCAGAATTGCCGAACTTTACCACCGACCATTTATGGGGTACCAGCAGCGTATTAAACCTTCATAAACTGTATAAAAAAGCACATGCATCACTCGGATTGTAAAGATGGCGAGAGTAGAGCTGAGTCATTGGTGTCAGGAAAGGAATGTAAGGCCAGCAGATTAAAATGGATTCAGTACTGTCAAGCCGAGCTCACTCGCTTCTCACTCTGTCAGATTTCGCCTTTGTCTTTATAGTTCTGTACTGAGAATCCTGAACGTATGGGAGAACTTCATCTATCCGACACCCAACAGAAGACTCTACTAATTTTGCTTGTGTAATTTTTCCTTTCAGACGTTTGATGCAAATGATTTGTATCAGGGGCAGAATTTTAACAAGGTCCTCAGTTCCTTAGTGACTCTAAATAAAGTAACAGCAGGTAAGACTCTTTTTTTTTTCAAATCTCACATCAGGGGTGGGAAGACAAAGGGAGAATACCTTTCGTTTCCTACTAACCAGGCTAGCCCATCATTACTGAATTCTTAAAAATAGGCTTCTATTGTAGTAACTCTTTGATTGTTGCTTTTGCTCCCTCCTCCCGCATTAGAGCAAAAAAGTTTCTGGAGAGGGCCTGTGATAGATATCAAGCTCTCCTTCCTGTAGGCATGGCGATTTCTCTCGAATAATCGTGTAACAGAGTAACAGTGCTTTGTCCACATGGGAAGAACCACAGGCTGTCTTACAACCAGAACTACCTGCGTATGAGCTTTTATGTTAGGAATTTGTCTCCAGTAAGTTTTTGAGATGAGATCATGACGGCATTGGCCAATGAATTGCTTCTGTAAAGTAAACATCTACCTGACCAAGGTTTCCTGACACCTGTGAGGGCACCTCGGGGGTATTGTGATGTGCTCCCTAAATGGAGATGGGGAAAGACTCCCCTTGCCTCATTCCACTGACTCTTAGGCCAGGATGCGGTGATGAGCTTTTATAGTCATTAGCTACAGTGAGACTCTCAGAGCAGTCCTTAGCTTTTCTGGCGGATCCCTAAAATTTGCATCTTAGATCACTGCGCGAGTCAAAAAGAAGGAACTTATTAACTACGTCTTAAAGCAATCCGTCCCCGTTTACCTGTACAGATTTTAAATTTAGGATTTATGCAGAAGCTTAGCATTTAAATCTTTTGAATAGGAAACCCTTTAAGCTTACTTTATTTATTCTCTTTTCAGTTTCATCTTGGTGCTTGAAATGTATTGTAGAATCCCTGGCTTGGGCACTCCTTTCCTTTGTGGAGGGGATGACCTGCCATCTTACAGCGCATGCTTTGCTTTGGGTGGCCATCGGGTACACTACTGCCTAACCCAGGGGTCCTCAAACTTTTTAAACAGGGGCCAGTTCACTGTCCCTCAGACCGTTGGAGGGCCGGACAATAGTTTAAAAACACTATGAAGGAAGGAGAGGGATGATTACATTTCTAAAGATATAAAAAGGTAGATAGAAGTAATTAAAATCGTCACATCATTGAATGATGCTTTGCAAATGAGTGTGATATTTCATAAAGGTGAAATACAAAAAGATTGGGGAGATGCGCAGGATTTGGCATATTTACTTTCCATAACCACATGTGCTAGCTATCTAAAACCTGCGGAAATACCCATCTCTGCCAGAAAGTTTTGAATGAGATATTAACATAAGCTCTGGCAGACAGAAAAAGGAATATCATAGGTACATAAATCTATAGATAATTCTTACACTCGAACTCTACCGTCATTTGCTCTTCGGGAGAAAACATGACATTTGAATTTCACTTTAGATGCTTTCCCCGCCTGCATTTTAAGTAGAGGTGCTGATTAGTGAAAACCACGGTCCGAGGCGAACAGTAAGAAAGAATAATGCTGAGAATTGTAATTCATAAACTAGGTAGTATCGTGAATAAGGTAGGAGTCCTGTCATTGATATTTAAACAATGGAGAGGGAAAGAAGCCAGCATCAAAGGTATCTTGGGCACATCTTATGTAAGAGTGTTTTTCATGCATCTATGATGCCTATTTTATATACATTGTAAGTAAAATATATACCATTAGTCCTTATAAAAGCACGCTGCGCATATTCTCCCCCAGCTCTTAAACCAAAGAGTGCACTCTCAGCTGGAGAAACTTCGCTTGCCTCCTTGATCTCAGGTTTTATTTTTGTGCTGTGGAAACAATGACGTTTCTTCCCCCAGATTTCCGTTCAGTGACCGATTTCACAATCAGATGATTTCAGCTGTTGCCTCCAGGGTTGTTGCAGGCTTTAATGAATGCTTTCTCCCGTGCTTTACTTATTCAGAAATCCAGTTGTGTTCTCTAAAATAGAGTATGGATGCCTATTTGCCATTTAATTGGACAGAAGCAAGACTGATGATGTAAAAGTCTTCAGTACATCTTGATTTTACTTACAAAGTCCCTGGGGGAGCTAAGGCATTTCCGAGAGAGTTGGGGTAGCAGAGTACCATAGGGACATGGCCACTGTGACAAAATCTCTGTGATAGTCTTTTTTCGTAGCTGGCTTTGTATTTGTGATAGTATAAAGCTGGTTAAATTCACATAACCTCTGTCATTATCGAGTTAAAAAGTACCGAAATGGAACCTTAGAATTGTAGGAAGACTCGTTAGAGATAACCTGATAGCAGACTGTTGTGTGAAAGCAGAATTTCTAGGAAGCAGCGGGATTGATTCGAGATTCATGTTCTCTTTATATATTGTACCCCTGCTTAGCTCTGGGCCAGGTGAGCGATGAGGGAATATATACCTTGAGTTGCTGTAAAGTCAGCTATTAAAGAAAAGCCGGAAATGTAGGATTTTCTGTGGACTCTTCAGACTTTTCAATGTTGACAACGAATTTCAAACATTTACAAGACACTTTATGAACCCATTCAAACATGCCAACTAGAAAAATCTGACCTGGATCTGATCCAGTGAAGAAGTCCTTTTGTAGAGAACCCCCTATCAGCTTAGAAATTGCTGGAGACAATTTGGAAGAATAGTTTCCCAAAGGAGGGTGGGGGATGGGGGTGGAATTGACTTCTCTATTTATTTGGTTTTTTTAATTCTAAGAAGTAAGTTGCCAACCTTTCCTTGTTGGTTCACCTTAGTGGGGTATCTATTCCTGGAGGGAATTCGTAGAGGGGAGTAATGGGTCCTTTCAATATGTTTTCTTTGACCGTTTCAACAACATTGTGGGGTAAGTAGCGCTTATGTCACCTTCATGTTGAGAAAATACTGAAAAGGTTCTCTCTGACTGAAAAATATGAGTGTTCTTTTGTTTTAAATGAGGATCATGTTGCAAAATGAGGATTGTGTTCTTATTTATCTCATGAAGTACAACCTTGGAAAAATGGGTAGATGGTGATGATGTATTGAGCATTATTTTTTTTCCTGTTAAATCAATGAATTTGAGAGGTTTATTTTTTTCCAGGTGAAGAGGGATGCTAAAACAATTAAAACATTTCATAAGTAAAGTACTTTGTGAGTATATTAAAAAAGTAAACATTTAGAAAACTATACCAGAAGAGAACTAGTCAACAGTTATCGCTTAATAATTTGTGGAAAGGTAGTTGGGGAATGAATGCAAGTCATTTATACAGTAGACAAAGAATTTGTCCTTTGTTGGCTGCATCAATGGCCTCCTTTGTTCCGGTCCCTTGGTGGATCCCTCTATGGCTGCCCTATTTTAAAGTCTAGTGCATATCGGGAGTGCATGCTGTCAGGCATATTCAGCTTTCTTTTTTCTGTGTGCACGACCTTTCCAGACATTGGACTAGGAAGTGATTCTGTATGTGCTCGGCCCTCATCTCATCGAATAAAATCTTTTGATTCCCTTGGATCCCAGTCTTTACACAGCCGGACTTCAAAATTGTTCCAGGGCCAGTATCGAAGTTTGGTAAGTTTGATATACTTTGTTACTTAAAATATATTTTGAGGGGAATGAATGTTGTGTATTTATCTTGGAAAGTTTATAGACCTCTAAACAGTGTTAAAAACTAGAAGATGATTAGCTTTTGCCTCCATTAACCCTTTCATGTGGTTTGGGGTTTGGTTGTTACCACATTATGCAGTTATTATGTTTAATGGTTTCTGAGACACTCTTTAAGGGAGATTTTATTTTAATATTCATTAATTTGTTTATAGTGATGTATGCTTTAAAGTACTTCCATGGTGATATGCATAGTGTTTTCTTGTGTACCACACACGATTGAGAAATATGAAGCATGTATGTAAAAGTACTTGGAAGGATGGGAATAAGACATACATGGGGGTAAGAAAGAAATATGTGGGGATAAGAAGTACACATATACAAAAAAAGAAGTGTACATGTAAAACATCTTAGAAGTATAAAGAAGGAATGGTTAAGCTAAAGATCTCAAGGTAGCTTTATTTTTCCCTCATTGGGAACATGCCTAGAGGACATTAAGTCAGGCTGTTTTTTCTAGAAGAGGAAATTCTTTATAATATCTGGTAGTAAAGTAGGGAAAGAAAAGTAAAAAGCATCCTAAAAAACGGAGAACATTTTATTTGTGAATCCTCCAGGTGTATAATGGATTATAAATGATAATTGTAACATTGTGAGTAATGAGAGGCTAGATGGTCCCCATTTTAATTCTGATAAATCCATCGTAAGTTGGATCTCACTTTATTATTTAACATTCATTATTTTTGCCTTGTATTAGCAGTGTCTTTATACATCTGGCCTTTACTTGTATTTGGGGGTTGGAAACATTACGTTAAAAACTTTAACATCAACACATTATACACAGCAACATTGTATGAAGTGCTAACAATAACAAATTAAAACAGATGCTCTTAAATGCTGTTTATTATAACTCAAATACATTGCAAGTCGAGGTTCACTTGCAGTGTACCGTAGAGGAATTGAAAATTAGAATCTAGGAAAAGAATAAGCGCTAAGTAGAGGAAATATGGAAAGGTGATCACACCATCTAACATGCCTTAGACTGCTTCCATTTGCCATTTCAAACACCCAGGTCTTCTCTTGAGCTTAAAGGGTGATTAACACTTATTTTGATTAGTTGCCAATGGTTTGACTTCCTTTTCATGCAGCATTTAAAAAAAATCTTTCTTTTTCAACTTTTCATTGCGGATTAAATGAAGATTTACAAAGCCAATCAGTTTTCCATTCAACAATTGTGTCATGTATTTATTACAATCCCGACAATATATCATCACATATCCAACTTAATCCTGTTTCCGTTTCTTCTTCTTTCCTAACCTTTCTGAACTTTGACCTTGGATAAATGCTTCCCTTTTGATCTCAAATGGTTGAGTATTTTAAGGTGTACATATAGTGTTCTTCATGGCATAGTAGTTACGTTTTGGGTTGTAATCCACAAGGTCAGCAATTCGAAGCCACCAGTGGCTCTGTGGGACAAAGAGGAGGCTTTCTGCTCTCATGGAGTGACAGTGGAAACTCACAGGGGGCAGTTCTACCCTGTGCTATAGGGTCACTTGGGTTTGGCATTGATTCCATGGCAGGGTGTTTTTTTGGTAGAATAGATATGTGTTGCTTGGGTACAGATGGAGCTGTGGGAGTAAGGTTCCTTTCCAGACCTGAAATGTCACCTAACAGCTGTAGCCTCAAAGGTTCCACCAGTCTTTCTCCGAACAGGAAGCTTGTTCTCTTTATTAGTTTGAGTTTTCTCCTACCTTTTTTTAACTGCCATAGGAATTTATTTCATAATTATGAAACAACAGTATTATTTAATACTGTTAATAAAGATCTAAAATGAGTGTCAATCTTAAGTTATATCCATTTTTTATTATTATTTATTTATAATTTAAGCTTTTGATTTTGCGATCCTTATAGGTTGAGACGCATGTGTAAGAACTAATGTAGGAGGATCCTGTGTATCCGTTACCCAGTTATCATCAGTGGTTACATCATAGGTAATTATGGTACAACATGACAACTAAGCTATATGAAGTGTCCCCCCATGGGATTCTTTTTCCCCATTGTTCCCCATTTTTATTCTCCTCTATTCAGAACTTTCTAATGAGACTCCTTTCAGAATAGTTAGTAGTGGTAGCTGAGCATCACAGTTCTTCTGGCTTCAGGGTCACAGAGACTGGTGGTTGTGTGGTCTGTTAGCCCACTGAAGGAATTGTTTCCATGTGTCTTCTATCCTCCAGTCAGGGAGAGACCAATAGGTGCCCCTCACAAACTTTTAAGGTAGCATCACCACTTAGGAAAGTAGAATGTAGACGATTGTCTTTGTTGGCTTTGTTATTCCAGCTGACATGGTATTGAACACCCTGGCCCAGCATTTCATTCCTTCAAGGTATATATTCTTGAATATATTTGCAGCAAAGATAAATACCCACGTACAAGTATCTTCTGTTAAACCTATTACATAAAAACTATAACATTGACAAGTTATGGGTGAGTTTAGCCCCACTCTCCCTCCCACACCTATTTGACCCTCGTGCTATTCAAACATCTATTTGTGCATCTTCGTTATTGCAGGATTGGGTATATAAGAATATTTACTCTACTGCCTCTTACTCTTGCCCTCCTCCCGGTATCTACCCCTGCTTTCATCAATTTGGACTTCTCTCTTACTCTATATCACCCTCTACACCTAGGTGAGCACGTGTCTACTCACTAGCAAATAGCCCCACTTCCCCTTCCACCATCAAAGAGTGTTTCATTTAGAGTAAAAACCTTTTCTTGACTTTTTTACAGTAGTGATCTCATATAATACTTGGCTTTTTGAACTGACATTTCATATACATTAATGGTCCCCCAGGTCCATCCATGTTATGAGGTGTTTTGCAAATTCATCACTATTCTGTAACTTTGCATAGTGTTTCACTGTGTGTATCCACGCCCCCAGTGCCAGCAATGTTGGTTGTTTGCCTTTGTGAATACTGCCGCGATGAGCATGGATGTGTATGTATGTATTTGTGTCATGACTCGGTTTTCTCAGCTATATACCAGCTAGAAGAATTCTTTTTGAGGACGTACTACATATACCATTTTCCATAGTGGATGCTCCATCTTACACTCTGACCAGCAGTCTGTGAGGTTTCCGATCTCTCCAAACCCTAGCTGACGTTGCGATTAATTCTGGGTTAAGGTGATCTGGTGTTGCTAGGGCTCCTGATCTCTAATCATGGTGCCTGTGGGGTCTGATGCTTTTGGAAGGAAGGTACCTGTGATGAGTACTTTCCTGGATCTGCCCTCAGGTCCGCTTGTTGTTGGCAGGGCGCCCACTCAGTCCTTTGTGGTACATGGGGGTGGGGACTCTGAGTTATAGGTAGTTCCCCATTGCAAAGCTTTTCAAGCACCTCCTTCCTAATATATGGAGACTTGAAACAAAAACAACAAAGCACAAAGCAAACTAGCCAGTCCACTTGCTTATTTTTACTGTCCAGAAGACTTTTGTGACTGTCTTTGAATTAAGTTCAGACTTTTAGGATATATTTAATGGGAACTTCAGAGAAAAGGGATTCTTTGCTGCCTTAATCTGGGGTTGGAAGTCTAATTCATGTATTATAGTTTCTTGACTAATGACGTTTATCATGTTACTTTTATTTTTTAATACTTTATTTCCCGTGTTTTATCACTATTAAATTGTTCTCAATCTCTAATAATTCTTTTCTTAAAATTGACTTTATCCAATAATATTTTACATACTCTTTGTGCTTATACTTTGTATGTTGTAACTTCTTTTTCATTCTTTTTTTAACCCATTTGTGAAGTAACTCTTGTAGAACGTGTATAGTTGGTTGGTTCTTGTTTTTTCACTCAGTCTCTGCCTTTTAAGGTGTTTAGTACAGTTGCTTGTAATGCAGTTACTGCTGCATCTGGCTGGCTTTAAGTCTGCCATTCTGATATTTGTTCCTTTTTGTCATGTCTATATTTCATTGTTTATTGGCTTCTTTAGGAGCCCTGGTGGTGGACTGGTTACATGTTGGGCTGGGATCCTCATGGTTGGCAGTTCAAAACTACCAGCACCTCTGTGGGAAAAAGACTGTTCTCTCTACTCCCCTAAACAGTTACAATGTCTAGGAAACCCAAGGGAGGGGGGGGCGTCAGTATTGACTCCATGGGAGTGAGGGCTTTTTTTGGTTGTTGGCTTCTTTTGACTAATTGAATAAATGCCCTTGTATGTTATCCACACACACCCTCATTATCTTTTTTAGCTGTATTTTTTCCTACTATTATTTGAGCAGTTGCACAAGGGATTACTCTAAAAGCTGATTGCCATGAAGTCCTTTCTGACTCATGGCGCCCCTCCCTGTCCAACAGAGTAGAACTGCTCCATGGGATTGTTGAGGCTATGAATCTTTGCAGAAGCAGTGGCCTCATATTTCTCCCATGGGTTCTAAGTTGACCTGTTGCACCTAAACTGACCTCAGCAGCCCAACACTTAATCCATGGTGCCCCCAGAGCTCCTGGGACTGTAATATGCATCTTTCATTTATCACAGTGTATTTACAGGTATACTTATCAGCTGTGTTATCTGACAATTGCCACTTACAATAGTGAAAAATCCCGATCAGACTGTTTTGTATATTAATGATATAAATGAACACTACTTCCCTGATCAGCTCACCCAATATGCACATAGAAGTAGAAAGGAAGTATTTTTTAGAATTCATAGTATTTTCCTGCCTGAGCAGAGCAGAGGGGGAGCTAGAGTTTGGCAGGAGGAAATAGGATGCTACTGGTCAGTCCTGGGTCCCCACCGGGGCCTGAGACTAGGGCAACAGCAGCTGGCATTGGCAGTGGCAGTCTCCTCCGGCTACATTAAGGGGGAAGGAGAATTCAACTTTACACCTGTCTGAGGATGGTTTCTGTGAGGCAGAGGTCAGCTATACCTCTCACCTCCCATCTTCTTTATTCTGACAGCAACCTTCCCTCCCATTGCACTCTACTTCTCTGCTGGGTTCCATAATCTGTTGAAATGGCCACTTAGAAATCTCAGGCAATATTCAGAACTCTAGGGCTTAATTAACCCCTGTAGTTGATAAGGGTTAAAAGGAGGTTAACAGGTTACAAGTCAGCATCAGAAATGTTAAGGGTGCAGTTGTTTAGTCTTTAGTATTTGTGTACTTCTGCCTGGTCCTTCGCCTTTATCAACCCTGCTCAGGCGAATGCTATAAAGCTCCTTTTGTGCTAATAAGTGCCCAAAGGATGCTTCATTCTGCAGACCAGCCTCCTACCCAAAGGCACTCAGTTTTACTCCTGTGGGCCGAGAAGTCGGGCTGTCTGTCTCATCGTCACTGCTGCGCTGCTGCTACCTCTAGTGCTTCTGCGGCTGCTGCCTTCTCTGCACAGCGATCCTGATGGGTTACATTTTTGACTCTTCCTTTGTGATTGTGAGAGTCTCTCTTCTTGCCTCACAGGCAGCTCATTTTATGACATAAATAGCCCCATTTTCATGGCCTCATCCAGTCATTTTGTGGGAGTTATAAAGATGATGGAGAGAAGAGCCATCCCAGTAATTTCCTTTCGTAGCAGTCACTTTTCTCCCACTCTATGAGGGACCCACCCTCTAAAGAAGTGGGTCTCAACTTTCCTAATGCTGCGACCCTTTCACACAGTTCCTCATGTGGTGGTGACCCCCCAACCATAGCATTATTTTCATTGCTACTTCATAACTATCATTTTGCTACTGTTATAAATTGAGCGACTCCTGTGAAAGGGTTGTTAAACCCCCAAAGGGGTCGCGTCCCACAGGTTGAGAACCGCTGCTCTAAAGGGATTCCTTTCAGAGCCAGTTGGTAGTAGTTGGTTCTTTTGGTCTTGGGCTTGTGGAAAATGATGGTCATTAAACCCTTGGACAGTTGTTTCCGTAGGTCTCTGATTGTCAGTACTCTTCTCTGGAGAGGCCAGGGACCAGTAGTTGCTCCTGGATGGCCGCTCAGCTTTTCAGACCCAGTCACTGCTCTCCAAAGGAGGAGCTGGAACGCTGTCGTTTGGGACCAGTCATTCTCACTTACCTTGTGATGGGTCCCGAGATGAAAGTTCTGAGCCCCCAGGTGCAGTTGACTCCTTCTGTTCAGGTGTTTGGTTATGCCCGAGAAGCTTATTTATTATTGTTGTTTGTTTGTTTCTTTTTTTATTTTAATTTTTTACATTTTGAAGGGCACCTAATTCACATATCATACAATTCAGTAGTTCAATTGTTCAGTCATATCAAGAATTGTACAATCATTACTACAGTTAATGTTAGAACTCTGAAAAATTTTTGTCTTTTCCCCATGTATGCTTTACCACAGATAGATTTGATCAAAGGTAAATACACATGTATAAAAATCTTATGTCAAATTTGTACGTGTTCATTGAGTATAGTCACACTCTCCCTCCCACAACCTGTATGTTTATCCATGTGTCTACTCAGATTAGCCTCTGACTATCCATGTGTCCACTCATATAGGTCATCGTTTTTTGCAGGTTTATGTCAATAACAGTATTTTCCTCTCCCGACTTAACCTCTTACGTTCCTCCCAGTGCCTTTCAGTACTTCCTTACGTGACTAACCTCCCTCTTATTGTATATTGCCTTCTCCTTCACACTCGTTAGTATGGTCTACCTTCAGGTGAATAATATATATCTCCTCTCGTTTCCACGCCTGGTGACCATCATTGCTTTTAAAGGATATTTCTTGTTGGATACAGAACTTCTGGGTTAACACTGCTCCAGCACAAAAAGGTGACATTCATTAACCCATTGACTTCCACTGTTTCCACTGAGAAGTGAGCACTTGTCACGACTTTGTTTCATTTGGCGTGTAGTTTTCTGCCCACGAGTTGACTTTTCATATTTCTTCTTGTCTTTGGTTTTCAGCCGAGTAGTGATGTACCTAGTAAAATAATTTGTGTTTACTTTGTTTAGACTGTGTTGAGCTTCTTGTAGTTCTGTGTTGCTGCTTATCACCGAGGTTTCAAAAGTTTTACCAAGTCAGGCATTTTCCCTCCGCCAGTCTTAGCTTCTTGGAGTCAGTTGTTAGATGTGCTGCACAGATCTTGGAAGCTGTGTTGTTGTATTCGTATTTTTAGGAATTCCTGGATAATTTTAATTCACTTCCTTCAAGTTCATTTACAGTTGACCCTTAAGCAGCCTGAGTTTGAACTGCACAGGTCCACTGATCAGTGGTGGCTTTGTTAGATGCTCTGTGGCACTAGTTATTTTTGCTTGAGTATCTCATCCCTCTGGTAAATTGCATGTCCTAATAAGTGGTTTTTGCGTGTGCAGTTTTTAAATGTTTTTCGTCGTGCTTAGTGCAGTACTGTAAACGTGAATAATGCTTTCGGTTTTTCTTAAGAAGTACCACCAGTAATGATGGAAATACTTCTGGGAAGCAGTCATGATATTATGAAAAAAGGAAGAAGTGCTTGATATGTTACATAAGATGGTAACTCTTTATGAGAGTAGAAAGTCTCATCCTACTCAAGAGCAGAGATGGTTTCAAACTACTGACTTAATGGTGAGCAGCGCAGTTAGTCGCCCACTCTGCCACCAGTGCTCCCGAGGTAATAGAAGACAAAACCTCCATTACCCAAGAAAACCCCAAGGTTGTCTCCAAAACCAAGGACAAAAGGCTTAATTATTCTTCGTAAGGCCATTCTTTCCAAGCCAAAACCAAACTCGCTGCCACTGAGTGGATGCCAGCTCACTGCCTCCCTCTAGGACAGAGCTGCCCTCCTGAGTCTCTGAGACTGTAGCTCTTTGTGGGAGTAGAGAGCCTCCTCTTCTCCCTTGGGGCAGCTGGTGGTTTCTGATGGCTGACATGGCAATAGGCAACTCAATGCATAGCCGTTATGCCACCAGGGCTCCTTCTAGGCAGTTCTCTACTGTAAAATAAAATAAAAACCAAACTCATTGCCATTGAGTCCTCTCAACTTTCCCTGACCCTGTAGAACAGAATAGAGCTGCCTCTGTCAATTTCCAAAGACGGTAAATCTTTACAGGAGTGAAGAGTCTCCGGGGAGGGAGGGGATAAAATGAGCGATGCCAAGGGCTCGAGTGAAGAGCAGTTGTTTTGAGAATGTTGAGGGCAACATGTACTTTACACAATTGATGTATGTATGGATTGTGATAAGAGTTGTATGAGTCCCCAATACAATGATTAAAAAATAAAATAAAACTAACAGTGGAAAACAAGGAGTCAAAAGTCTCATCTTTCTTCTGCAGAATGACTCGTGGGCTCAAACCGCTGCTCCCTGTGTTAGCAGCTCACAGTGTAACCCACTGCAGTACCAGGGCTGCGGTGGGAGCAAATTTAAAAGTGTTTTATAATTTAAGATATATGTCTCCTGGACAGAATGAAACCTATAGACTTACTTACAGGTTTGTTTAAAGATGTGTGCACAGTTATTTTGAATGCAGCACTGTCTTGTAATAGAAATATATGGAAATAACCTAAAAGTTCATTAATGGGGAACTGGCTAAATAATGTGTGACATAGTCGTACAATGTAATATTAATTATTTAAGATGAAAGTGTATTAGTACTGATAGAAAAATGACCAGAATATGTTAGCTGTGAAAATAAATTGTACAAAAGTCTATATAAATATATATATGAAAATTGTATGTATTTAAAAGGTCGTAAAAAAGTCAGAAGATCTATTAGGCCATTAGAAGGTTTCCTCTGTAGCGTGGAATGGTAATAGTTTTGGTGTCAGTGGGAACAGGGCACTTTAACGTGTTTAAACATTTTTCTGCCTTTTGAATTTTTCGGCCAATTAGACTGGTTTTATAATATTAAAATATAATCAAATTATTTGATAGTGAGCTGGTCTGTACTTCATGGATTTCTCACCCCCCTTATCTTTTAGGACATGACTGATAATAGCAACAATCAGCTGATAGTAAGAGCAAAGTTTAATTTCCAGCAGACAAATGAAGACGAGCTTTCTTTCACAAAAGGAGATATCATCCACGTTACTCGGGTGGAAGAAGGGGGCTGGTGGGAGGGCACTCACAATGGCAAGACTGGCTGGTTCCCCAGCAACTACGTTCGAGAAATCAAATCAAGTGGTAAGTATTCCAATGTGGCATGCTTGTAGAGCTGATAAATTATTCAGAGCCTTCTATAGTATTTTGAAATGGAATCGTGGTTTGGGGTGCCTTTTTTAATTGATGTTAGCTATGGTTCATATTATGAAATGAAGAGTTTTTTTGCAATGCTTTGTCGAATCTGTGATGTTTGGAAATGAGTTCTCAATAGACATCTGTTTATAAAATGCTTATACTATTTACTTGATATTATATATGGCATACTTTTTTGTATACTGGGTAGTCATTCATGAAGTCAATGAATCATTATTAAAAGGTGCTGTGCACAGAGACTGCTGCATTTCTTTGAATACAAAGATATCGTTGGAGCCTTCAAGGAGATTACATTGGATTCCTGTGTGTGTATGTATGTGAAGGCTTCAAAAGGTTAATGAACAAAACATGCAATTACGAAAGAATTGAATTTTGCCACATTCTTCTTGAAGCCCTCTCATGCACCCTTAGTTTTTATGTAGAAGAAGCAAATTACGTTTTTTACAGATCGGGTCTAAAGGAGTGCCAGGAAAGAAATGGTGTCAAGATTTGTAAAATGAGTCTCATAACAGTATTCATGTATTTTTTCTTTATTTGAAAAGTATATATCTGTGCAACATAGGTTTTCTAATTCTACGTGGTGAAGGGTAAGCTGTTATTAATAATAGCTAATAAAATGTGAAAAGAACATGATTTAAATTCATAGCACTGTTTTGTGACATGGGTAAACTAACCTCAGAACCTCAAGAGATACTTTTCCTGTAAGGTGAAGGTAATAGTACCTGATTTGTAGAAGCTGTGTGGGGATTCAGTTAAGGTTTGTAAAACATGTAGTTCAGTGTCTGGCACAAAATAAGAGCAGGTAAAAAGTGCTCTGACGGCATTATTGGTTAAACACTGGGTTGCTAATCACAAGTTGGTGGTCCAAAGCGGCTCTGGGACCAGGATGAGCTTTCCTACTCCCATAGGCTTCAGAAACCAGCAGCAGCAATTCTGCTCTGCGCCTGTAGGGTCACTCTGAACCTGGAATCCACTCAGTGGCAGCACGAGTATGTATTGTTGTTGTTTGTAATGGTTAGTAAATGATGAGGTAGTAGAGAAGGAACCTGTCTGCATTCTCACTGCTTACTCATTAATAATAATAGCTCTGGCTGCTTATGATGTTCTAGTCTCGGGTTTTAACATGTGACTTCAATAAATGTTCATCACCGACCCGATGCAAGTTTTGTTGGGATACAAAGGAGATAAGATATGAGTAAACACGTAATTTTTATAATATATACTATGCGTAATATATAATTTATTTTTGTTAAAAAACATTTTTCTCCATCCAACTTTGGAACCAAATGAACGACAGTAAAATCACGAAGATGGAGGATCAAAATGTTGTCTTTACAGAAAAGTATGTGGACAAATGTGGACTTAATCTAGTAGTGCGTTGGGACTTGCCAGTACTTACCTGGTCATGGTTACTAGAGCAGTTGATTAACCCCAGCAGTCATATACCTGTGTGCGCAAGCAGGCCACTGTAAAGCAGAAGCATGGGGAAGCAGGTAGGTCATAGAACCTAAGCTCAGATGCTTTCTGAAAATCACTGTGTTAGGCTGGGTTGACTAGAGAAACAAACCTGGTGACACTGACATATGTGTAAGAACGAGCTGAATATCAAGAAGTAATCATAATATATCAAGAAAACATTCCAGCCCAGCTTAATTCAAGTCCATGAATCCAATAATAGTCCAAAAGTCCCTCTTCAGACTCATGCGTGATATGCAGTGTTGTAGAATGCAGGAATATCGCAGGCTGCCGGTGGGTGCAAAGTCGTGTGGATCCAGCGTCGTCGATGAACAACATCACAGGGCTCCAGCAACTCTCAGGATGGCCAGCAAGCACACACACACACACACACACACACAGAGAGAGAGACCAGCCTCCAGAGAGCTCTGTATCTCAGTCACTGCTCCAAGTTAGGTCATCAGGGTGCTACCTGATGACAGGCTAAACTCCACCCTACACTTTTGTATATCTTCACGTTGACATGAAGTGTCTAACTACCACAGCTAGGTTGCCTAGAGAAACAAAACCAGTAACACTCATATATATAACATATATATATATAAGAATTTTATGCAAGAAGTAGTGTTCTGTCACGAAGGCAGCCCAGCCTGTTCCATCTTAAGTCCATGGGTCTGCTGCTACCTAGAGCCCTCTTAGGACAAACATAACTGAAGGCCAGCGAAGAGGATGGATTCTCATTTAACTTTAAATTTACAAAGGCCATCACTAGGGTGCAAAAGAATAACAATTCACTGTTTAGATAAGTAACCTCACAGCGTTTTCTTTTTTAAAAAAATTGTTGTTACTGAGAATATATGCAAAATGTGCACTAATACAGCATTTAAAAAAATCATTTTATTGGAGATTCATACAACTCATCACAATCCATACATACTTCTATTGTGTCAATCACATTTGTACATTTGTTGCCATCATCATCATCTCAAAACATTTGCTTTCTACTTGAGCCCTTGGTATCGGCTCCTCATTTCCACCTCCCTCCCTACCCCCCCTCCCTCACAAACCCTTGATAATTTATAAATTATTATTATTTTGTCATGCCTTAAACTGTCTGACTTACCCACTTTTCTGATGTCCATCCCCAGGGAGAGGGTTATATGTAGATCCTTGTCATAGGTTCCCTCTTTTTACCCCACCTTCCCTCCACCCTCCCAGTATCACCACTCTTACCACTGGTCCTGAGGGAGCTGGATTTCCAGTTCCTATCAATACATTTTTTGCATGTAAATTTAGTTCTTCATAGACTTTTTGATGTTGATCCAACATGAAGAAGATATCCGTGAAAAGATAGGGCTTCTTGGTCTCTGGATTGACTTCTGGGTTGATTTTTAACTAGATTTGGATGTTATTTGTTAGTAGTAGTTTGTTTTTTAATATCCTCTTGCTTTTTAACAAATAAGTAGTATCGTAACAATAATACTTTTAATGCCCCACATAGGACCTATGAACTGGGTGTGATAAAGGCAGCTGTAAGAAAAGCCAGCTAGTGAAATATTTAGAAGTGTTTGCTACATAAAGAACTAGTTCACTTTTTATTTCCTTAGATTGTTCTGTGTTTCTGAGTGTGTGTGTGTTTCAAATGTGTATTGTGATTTCATTATCATCGAAGAACTCTTTGTAAGTGACCATATTCCGAATCCATGTTTTTGTTTTTATTTTCTGGCAAAGAAATTTATTACGTGTTCACCATGTAACTTATGATCTTGGCCTTTCCTTCTTGCCTTTGTATAAGGCCAAGAGAGACCCCTTGGCTACTTTGACAACCTTAAAGCGGACTCCAGGAATGTCACCGACGGCATGACCTTTGCGACCAAATCCAGCCACCAGAACTTTATCGGTTTCCTCAATAAAACTCAAGCACCCATCGTTGGGCACGAAGGCTGTGATTTTCTTGCCGTTCTTGATCAGCTGGACATGGACACACTTGCGAATGGCGGAATTTGGTTGTTTGGCTTCCACTCCGACGTTTTTCAATACGATTCCTTTTGCATGGGAAGCGCCTCCGAAGGGGTTGGCTCTCAGAGCTGTGCCCAAATGGGCCTTTTTGTACTGCGGATCGTGCCATTTCTGGTCCCGTCGGTGGCTGCGGAGCTTCCTAGCGGTATGAAGACTACGACACTTGCCCATGTTGGTGGCGCCGCGACTCCCAGCGAAAGAGCCCGAATCCATGTTTTAATATTAAACTGAGACCCCTTTTTTCATTTATTTTTTTAAAATCTAAGAAATACTATGCTTTTCATATTGGTGATCAATCATGTTAAATATCTTTATCTGACAGTGGAAGGAGAGGAATAATCTAAGAGAGGAATAGCTTACTATCTTTGAAATTAGTAAATTTCAGGTCAATTTAATTATTAAATTTCAAGTCAATTTAATTATTAAACTACCTTGATATATTCTAAGGAATTTTTTACTAGCCTAATTTTAAATATGGACATTTGAAAGAGAAAGGAGTCACATTTTTATATTAAGAATAACACTTTGGGATCACCATAACCTTTCATCATTGTATAGGTTCAATAATTTATGTGGTTTCTTATTTTAGAAGGTACCCTTTTGAGAAGTGTGCTTAACACAGTGAAATTAATGCTTTTTTCCCCCTGAAAAACAAAATTTTGCCAAATTCAGAGCATACAGATTTCTTTAATTGGATCATTTTTGTGCTAGTTTCTTATAAAGTAAATCAGTCTGACTTCCTCTAAATTGAAAGTTTTTCTTGTGCATTAGAATTTGATTTTCAGTTACCGTATATACTTGAGTTATTAAGCTGACCTGAATATTAGCCGAGGCACCTAATTTTGCCACCAAAACTGCATTAAAAATGTGTTGAAAAACTCGGCTTATACACAAGTATTTACGGTAAATTTTATTGGAGAAACGGAAACTTACCTAAAAGTGCTATTTTAGGCTATTTATCTCCAGATCTCAATACTTTCCATCAATCATTTTCCTATGGAATATCTGGTAGATTTGCATACCCAACCTTTTGGTTGGCATCTGAGTTTTATAATCACAGTGCTACCATGGCTCCTTTATTGCCCTGAAACAAAAAACAAGCCTGTTGCCCCCGAGTCTTGACTCAAGAGTGACACTCCGTATGGCATGGTAGAAAGGCCCTCAAGGACAGATTAGAATTGCCCCATCAGATTTCAAAGGCATATGGAAGTACACTGCTGCCGTTTTCCATTTTTCTCCCAAGGAGTAGCTGGTAGTACCCTTGGTGAGTATAAATAGCCATTAATTATTTGCCACCTTGTGGTTGGAGATGAAAGTGTTCTTGCCAAACTTCATCATTATACATTTGCACTTATAACCTAATCTGTAGTTTTGTTGCTTGAAATAATCCTCTGAAGACAGATCTTTCCAGAATCTTGTAGAATGATTATTTCTAATGTTTACTGCAAAAGCATTATAATATTACTCCTGAATATAAAATTCCATAGAAGATTTATAATTGTTATTTAGCATTAATATTTTATGTTCAGTAGTCCCTTTTTGGGTATATACAATCCATGGATTCTTGCTGCATTTTATGCACTCAGCCGTATATGTTTTAAGACACTTATGTGTGCACACGCATACAAAGGCACACACAGGGTATCTTCCTAAATTCAGAGGAGCAGGAAAGGAAAGAGAAGCAACAGGCTATTTCTGCAAGTGTAATGATATTGGCTATTGATATTAATAAATGAAACTGGAGGTAGTAAATAGTATGGGGTTATCATCATATTTGGTATGTATTTAAGAAAATGAATGTCATTGAATTGAGCCAAATACTGGTTTGTATATGCAAGTCTGGTTTCGTGTATCTTCAGAAGCGTTCACCGAATTAGAAAACAGTTTCTAATGCATTGACTAATGTCTTCTACGTCTAGATAGCTTATTGTGTGTTCTACAGTAAGCACATTTCTTTGCAGTATTATTTGGGATCCCGACTAGACTAAGAAGATGAGTAATAACCTATGCTTGGCAGTGGTGTCAGCATTACATGGGACTCATACAAATCTTTCATGAACTTTCACTCTACCACTTCCTAGATTTATTGTTTTAAAACTTATTTTCTGATTCTTTGTGACATCATAAAGCAATATATGATTCAAGTTGTATTTTGGGTGCAGCTATGAGTTGAGCTGAGTTGATCACGTGGTGCTAATTGCAAGGGCAGCCATTTGAGCTCCCCAGCAATGCAAGCTGCCCAACCATTTCTGAGGTGAAAGAGGAGGCTTTCAATAAAGTGTTACAGCCTGGGAGCCCCAAGGGGGCAGCTCTGCTATGCCGCCTAGGGTCACTTTGACACAGTTGATTCAGGAGCAAGGAGCTTGACTTGGGTTTTTCAGTTTAGCTCCGATAGTGTTTAAGTAAAAATAACCTGTATGGAAAGGGACAAAGGTAACATGGAGACTTTTGATCCAGCCCTTATTTTGTTTTGGTGTGGTTTTGAGGGTGTGTGTGTTTGTGTGTGTGTTGTGTCTAAATTGCTGAAAGCAACTGGGATAGAGCTGAGTTTGAAGTTGGGCGTCTGAATGCCCTCTTTGACCTCCAGTAATAGAGATTTGTAACAGAGAGCAGGGGTGGTAGTATAAAATGGCAGAAACAAGCATCGGAGACAGGGGTGGGGGTGGGGGT